AAAAGAAATATATTTAACTAATACACTTGCAGCCATGTTAACCAACGTACTTGGTAGCTACGCTAAAGACAAAGAAGAGTTCACAGTTTTTATTTCAAAGGTTTATGGAATAAACAAATATTATGCCTATACCCGACTCTTCAGTGATCACCTGTTTTCTTTCTAAAACAACGTAAGACAAAAGAAATTTCAATAAACGCATTTAGGTTCTCTGGTATCTCCTAAAAAGCATGGATTAAAGGAAGGGCTTAAACAATTTCCACGTAATTAAAAATGTTTCCTTTTTAATAAATGCTTTTTGTTTTTCATTGTTCCTATTTTCTTTAAGCAGTATACCTTAGCATGGAGGGAGGAGGGCAGGAAAGGGGGCATACTCCAGAAGCTAACAATACAATCTTATCTTCTCCCCAATTCTGGAAGCCCAAGCTTGGGGACACAATGGCATGCCTCACCAGCCTCTCCAGACCTGATCCAGAGGCACTGGTGTCCTTTCCCACTGTAGAGCGTGCAAAGAAGATAACATTCTCCTAACGCTCCCTGATAGTCAGTTTTCCTACGGAGCCTCGACTATGAGCCCAAGCTCCAACTCAACCAAACTTCCTAACAGCTACTCCTCAAAATTGACCCAAAACATGATTCAAACATAAAACGTGCCCAAGCCTCCAACGCTGTAACAAGCTACGCTTCCAAAGTTCAGACACAGTACCGTTTTTATTTTTTTTATTATACCTGGAAAGAAAGGGGGAAAAAAAAAAAAAAAGCATCCACCAGACTCTACGTTACCGACTTCATGGAAGAATGGGGATTTCGGCGCCGGCTGGAAGAGTACCTGACCCAGAACAGAGAACGAAGAGCTGCCTCCGGGCCGCGGGCCCCCGTCCTCGGCCACACCATCACCTGGAGGGAAGGGGCTGCAGGGTTGCTCATCATCCCTCTGAAGCTGAAATCCACCCTCCCCCGCGAGATCGATCAAAAGCAGGGGGAGAAAAGTTTCTTCCGGGAGGCGCAAAAAAGGCCACAACTTGAGTGAATGAAACTGGGTTAAGGGCACCCGGAGCAGGATTTTCGCTGAAGTCGGAAAGAAAGAAGTCATCTACGTTTGCAGGTGCGAGCGGTTAGGAGCGGCCGTGGTCCAGAAAACTGCACGAACACGCTTTGGAGAACGTTTTATTGAGCGCGGACGGTTCCGGGGCGGCCGGCGAGGCGGAGCGGGGCCGGGGTGGGCGGCGGCGGGG